CTCTATGCATTTTTTTCCCAAGCTCTACTGATGCCCTAACATTTGATTATCATTTTAGGGAAAACTGGAAAATACATTACTCTTCTTTGAAATCCTTAAAACTGTGAGTGTATAACAATATTAAGTACAGATTGAAGAACTGATATGACTTTACATATGCATAATTGATCAAATTTATAATTAGCTTTTAAGTCTTCTCTGAGGAGCAAGAATATGGATGATCCAGAGAGCACTTTTTACAAATAATGGTGTGAATTTGTATGGAGCTTTAAAATTGTTTCTATTTCCACAAGGATATTCCTGATCTGTGAGGTTGTGAGATGCTATAGCAGTTCTGTTTCATACGTGTGGAAACTGAGGCCCAGAATAGTTGGGAGACTTTCCTAAACCCACAGTGAGTGGCAGATCTGGGATAAGAACCTATTAATAGATCTGTTTCTTAGTCGTGTCTTCAGATCTTTTTGAGAATTGTAGCTCAAAAACACAATCCCAGCCATCAGCTCTTTTCTGCTATCTAAAAGAGTTGATACTCAATGTTCCACATCAAAATACTTTCCATTGACTTCAAGTACTCTCTGTTTTCCTCCCAGTTTGAACGCCATGACCCTGTGGATGGGAGAATTACTGAGAGGCAGTTCGGTGGCATGCTGCTGGCCTACAGTGGGGTGCAATCCAAGAAGTTGACCGCCATGCAGAAGCAGCTCAAGAAGCACTTCAAAGAAGGAAAGGTAGGTAGCTTTGGCTAGAAGAAGAAAAGAAACCATAGGAACATATGGTTATTGCAAAGATGCTAACATAATGATGAGAGTATGTCATGAACCAAGGATCACAACTAGATTGTCTCTGGTACCTGAGGTCCAAAGGGAGAAAAGAAATGAGCAATGGGTGAGGAAGAGGAGAGAGTCCAGAATAACCCCAGGTTTCTTGTTCAGGAAAAAGGTGGCACCATGAACTGAGATTGAGAATTTTAAAGGAGAGACTAGTTTAGATGGGAAGAGAAAGAGTTCAGTTGTGGCCATCTGAGTCATGAGGTAGATTTGGGAATCATCAACACACTGTGTTAGAGTTAAAACCATGAAAGCAGATGAGACTGCCCAAGGCGGGCATTAGAGAGTAGAACTGTGGGCCAAGGAGAAAATCATGGAAACACTACCATTTAAGCAGCTTGGGAAGGAAATCTTCCCAAGAAGAAAGAAGAGGAGGCTCTAGACAGAGGGAAATCACATACACAAAACTCTAAGGCAGTATATTAGTCTGCTTGGCCTGCTGTAGCAAAATATTAATACCACAGACTGAGTGGTTTTAACAAGAGAGATTTATTTTCTCACAGTTCTTGAGGCTAGAAGTCTATGATCATGGTGCCAGTCAATTTGGTTTCTGATGATGGCTCTCTTCCTGCCTTGGAGGAAGACACCTTTTTGATATGTCCTCACATGGGCTTTCCTCAGTGTGTATGCATGGAGAGAGAGAGAGAAATCTCTGGTGTTTCTTCTTATAAGAACACTAATTCTGTCAGATTAGGGCTCCACCCTTGTGACCTCATTTGACCTTGTTATTTCCTCTAAGGCCCCATCTCCAAACACAACTACACTGGGCACACTGGGGGTTAGGGCTTCACCACATGAATGGACAGCAGGGGGTGGGTGACAAATATTTAGTACATAACAGGCAGGAAAGACAAACCTGGTACGTGTGAAGAACTGAAAGGGGACTCGTGTGGTTAGAGCACACTGAGCAAGGAGGAAAATGGGCTGAGACGAGGTCAGAGAGGGAGATGAGGACCAGAACATTGCAGGACCTATAAGTATAGAAGGAGTTTGGAGTTTATTACTAGTGCAATAGGAAGCTATTACAGTGTGTGAGCAGTGAATCAACATGGTTATATATACATTTAAAGAGATAACCCTGGCTGTTTTATGGAAAATAATTTGGAAGGAGGCAAGTGTAGAAGCAAAAAGACTGATAATAAGGAGAATTTAGTAAGGGATGATTTAGAGTGTTTTGAGCAGCATTAATATTGGAGACCATGGATTTGTGGCAACAGTATTCAACACTGCTCTCTGATACCCTTCAAAACCAGCTGTCCCTATTGTGAGAAAAGAAAAGGGCAGATGGTAGAACTGAGTCAGTATCTGGGGGTGAGGTGGACAGACTGAAGCAGAGACCAGTTAAGAGGTCAGGCCTCTAGAAGATCACACACACACACACACACACACAGTGGTGCCAGAACTAGAACCCAGACTTCTCATTGCCAGCCCAATACCCTTCCCACTGGACAATGACTACCATCTGGCCATGACCAGGAATCTGACTTGGCACTAAAAATGTTCCATGAGAGATTGCCAAGGTAGGGTGGCTTGGTAGACATGAAGCTTGAAAACTTGAGATCAAGTCCTGCCTCAGGTTTCCATGTTTATTAAACAAATCACTTAACCTCATTGGCCTCATGATTTCGGAGGCTCATCCTAGATTCTTGCTATAAGGGGCCTTCTGGCTTTAAAGACTCAATAATGGAAAATAAGAAATAGGATTGCTAGTGCCTGTCCCAGTTTTCTTAATTAGTCATTGTGCAAAAAATCTTGCATGAATAGCATTGCCCCAAGTTGGTGGAAAGCCCTTTTATTAGCCAGACTTTTTCCTCTTTGTCTTGGATGTTGAAAAGTTGAAAGGACCTCTGAACCAGGCTGTGGGCTGCAAATGAGGGCAGGCTGGGCTCTAAGAAAAAGTGTCAGCTTCTCTGAACTCAGCCCAGCCTTTTCCCACAGCAAGTGTTCTCTTGGCTGTGGAGAGAACTCATCATTAATGGAAAGTGACAGAGAGAAATATTTCTTTCCCAGAGAGCACTTCTACACTACCCAGTAGCCAGCTGATACCTGTTGAACATTGTAATTTCAGAAAATTGATTACAAATATATAGGTGTATTTTTTTAGTCCCCATGCTGGAAGCATAGTGTTTGCATTCAGAAACCCTCCTTTATTTTGACCAGACATATAGGTTGGTTCAGACATTGATTTGACCTTAAGTTAACTATCTATCATGATAGGCTAATTCATATTTTATTATAAACTTATATTTCAGAGCAATAAATTGGGTGTTAGAGACATCTCCCTTGAAAGAATATTTTAGCTTTAAGCAGGCATTAATTTAGGACCTGACGACCTTGCAAAAGAGCTCTGAAGTGAAGGGACAAATTTTGTCACATGATGAAATTCTGGCATGCTAAATTACTTCAGGCCAAGAATTTCTAGCCTGCCTTAGCAAGGAGATTAAGATTGATTGTTCTCTCATGTTGATTAAATAGTTTGTGAACATAGCAATTAACTAAAATGAGAGTTAATGAGGCCAGGCATGGTGGCTCACACCTGTAATCCTAGCACTCTGGGAGGCCGAGGCGAGGCAGGAGGATCACAGAACAAGTTAGCCAGGCGTGGTGGTGTGCACCTGCGGTCCCAGCTACTTGGGAAGCTGAGGCAGGAGGATTGCTTGAGACCAGAAGTTTGAGGTTGATGTGAGCTAGGCTGATGCCACAGCACTCTAGTCCAGGCAACAGAGCAAGACTCTGTCTCCAAAAAAAAAAAAAAAAGTTAACGAAGGGCCTTTGCTCCTAAGGTTACCAGTCTGTCTCTCTAGGACCACTTCCTATTAAAGAGGAATCACCATCTGCTTTCTAATTGCTGCTTTTATTCCACTTCAGATTTGTTAACATGAAAATATAAGTTTTCATTTGGCTCACATTAATCAGTTTCTATGTGGGGTTCTATATCAAGATACCAAACCAGACCTAAAAGATTGAAGGTTCTAGAGGTGGTATTAAATAAATTTTTGCATGTAACTTAATGACTGTGCAGTGCTTCACAGCCATTTTTCTCTTTCTGTCTTTCTAATAGCCTTGTTAGATATTGTGCCTATGAGAATACAGAGACAGAAAGAGAAATTAATGACTCACTCATAGTCTGAACTAAGATCTAAGGCTTCTTATTCCAGATCTTACCTTTTCCATAGCAAAGGGCTATTTCACCTCACCATACTCTTCCTCTAAAGTGGTGCTCCTCTACAATAGGATCACCTGGGGAATTTTTAAGAAATGTGGTTATGGCACCCTCTTCAAACCAGTTAAATCAGAAGCTCAGTGGGCGGGTCCAGGCATCAGTGTTTCTTAAAGGCTCCCCAGGTGATTCTAATGTGCAGCTAGGCTTGTGAGCCACTGCTTTAGAGAAGCCGTACTCCATCAGTGTGTCTAGCTGCTTCATCCCTGAGTAAATAGCTTGAAGAATCAGGGAACCTACCATGCCTGGGAAAAGTTACTTTACTGATGCTCTAAGCAATCACCACGTATTTATTTAACAAAGAGTTTTCTGAGACTTCATAAATATAATTCACAGTGGTGATCCTCTATGTTTATGAGTACAGAGGCTGCTAATTTTAATAATATCTTGATTTAAGGATGAAATTGAAAATTACAATTCAGTTCAGTGGCAGACATTGCTATGTGCAAGACATTAAGCCAGGTGCTGTGAGAAAGATAAAAGATAAAGACTATCCCTTATCCTTAAAGAGCTATATATATTTCTTAAGTCTGCAATAGTCTAGTAAGAGAAAAATATTTATGCAAAGAACTATTTAATTTCATATACATATTCAATATTTATTGAACACCTACTATGTGCCAAGCATTCTTCTAAATATTGGGAATACAGTAGTGAGTAAAACAGTCTCTGCCTCATAGAACTTAACATTCCTAGTGGAAGGAGACATTTAAAATGAGTATAATACAAGGCAACCCACTCAACTTTGATCCTCGAAAGGGCAGTGCCTTCCTCATCTTTGCATGTCCTCTGCATGGTGAGCATCTCATAGGCAATGTTTGTCAATTGCAATGATCAATGTGTTGAGTACTCTATTAAAGGTATGAGATCTTTTTGGAGCACTGACGAGGAAGATAGAGCCAACTAAAGAGACTGAGTAAGATTTCTTGGCAGAGGTACAACTGGAATTTCGCCTTAAAGGCAGAGTAGGATTATGACAAGCAGAGATTGTAAAGGTATTTGCTTTTGCTAAGTGTTTCCTATCATAGCCCTATCCCCAACAGCATATCATTGCTTATTAATACTGCTACTGGCCATTTAGCAAGGTTAGTACTTATCAAGCATTTCTAATAAAACTATTATATGACCAACTTTTTATATTGTCTATAGATAATATACATGTGAGCTCTCCTTATCCATTTATTCACAGATATTTGAGAATTGAATCATATTAGTCATCCATGGAATATCAGATTCTAGAAACATTGTCAGCATAGCCCTTGAAAAACTCATTAACTCCAATTATTAGGTGCCCACCAAAGTCACTATGTAGTATATAGTACATGAAATGTGGCCATAAAACTAGAAAGACTAGAATTCTACTTTACTTATAAGCCTTTTTTGTTAAATGACTAATTAGTTTTGAAAGCTGTTCTTCCCCCAAAGGAGTACTAAACTGTGAATTACTATTAAGAGATTTAGTTTTATGAGTTTTTCCCCATATCATTTTCCTGTTTTTTCCCCACAATGAGTTTCATATACCTCAACCTTTCCCCTATTTCCTATCCCTCACATACCAGAGAAGAGAGTCTATTTCAGAGCTTAATAAAATAGATGCCTACCACTAGTTCTATAGTAATGAGCCTGCCAACTTACTGAGGACTTCCACCTACCACTTACTGAGTACCTTCTGTGTACTAGA